ATTAAACCTAACCCCCCTAAACTCTCTTAACGTTTCCATTCTTCCTTAACTCCTCACACCCATTTTCCATCATTGCCAGTCCATCTCTTTTCAGCTTTCCTCACACACGTGCCTCTTGACCTCTCTAGCTCTTTTCACACCCCTCTTTCCCTTCAGTTGTCACCACTATCCAGCTTTTCAACCTTTTTTACCTTTTTCACTTTCAAGTTTTAAAACTCAGTAGCTGTTGAGCTAAGTCCAACATGACCATCGTGGACGACCACCAAGCCACCACATGGTCCACACCTTAGCATACCTTTATGGTTCCACCAGAACTCTTTCATGGCTCAAGGTTAGTTGGGCTTGTGTATTGCCCTATGAACAAAACAAAAAATGGGTTTTTCCCCTCATTTAATTGATGATGATAATATCTGTTAATAATTTTTGTATATGTTTGAAGAATAAATTGGTTATTGAGATTTGTTATTAGTTGTTTTGTAACTTTAATTAGTTTTAAAGATCTGCCTTATGTATTATTAATTTAAAGATTTAATTAGTTTTAAAGACATTGAAGTTTTTCCTGTGTGATTGTGAACATTCAATGTTAAACAAGTACAATATGTTTTCTTGGTATACATTCAGAACTAAAAAATCAAGGAAACTAACCAAATTATGTCAGTTTAGATTTTTAATCAGTGAGATCAGTTTAGTCAATTTTTTTATTTTTACAATTGAATTAACCGAACCGATCGAATGCTCAAGCCTAGTGAAAATAGTTGTTTAAGGGCTCAAGTGATCTAAAATAAAAAATTCAACATTTGATTGATTACAATAAAATATCAAGAGTTTAAATTATTATTGAATTTTTATTCGAAAATTTTTTTACCCTTTTGCCTTATTTATTTAAATGTGTGAGCAAATATTTATATTAATATTATTTAATTTACATGTCTAATATATATAAAATGCATATAATATAATAAAGATATCATACAATTTAAGCCACTATTGTAGATAAATTTCTTCTTTCTTTTTTGAAATATTATCACATATATATTTTGAATTTAAAAGGATAATATAATAAGCTATATATGTGTTTTTTTACTTTAAAAAGCAAATAGTAAGAAATTATAAAGAAATTTATGTAGTTAAAATTATATTAAAAATTTTAAATTTAAAAAGAGATATCTTTAACTTTTTAAATTCATGTTTTAAATTTTGAAACAATTCATGTTTGAAATAAAACAACGGGTTACATCATTATCATATCAAATTTTGTGAAATAAAAGTATTTTCTTAAAATTTTAAATAATTATTACAGTTTAATATTGTCATTCAAACGATGTGTTATGTAAAAAATACAAAATGATAGAAAAAACATGTATAATGGAAAAAAAATTTTTGTTACAAATAAGCATGAAAAAAAATCCAAATTAGGGGAATAAATAAAGATGTTTTAATTTGTTTTCTTGTCAATAGAAGAAACCAAAGAATGTGATGTTCATAATTTATGAATCAATTGTGTATTATTTTAAGAAAATTTGAAGTCAAATTAAGCCAAATGTCTCCTTACTCTGCAAAAATTTAAAATTTAGTTCGTATATTGTAATTTATAAAAATTTAATTCTCACACTAAATTAATTTAACAATTTTAATCTAATCACTATCTTCATTAAATTTTTACCATTAAAAATACTGATGTGGACATTGACTTGTGTATGTGTATATTAACTTTGCTAATGTGACCATTTGGATGAGTGAAATCAATTGTCAAATTATCCAAATGGTTCATGTACTCACACAATTTGAACCTTTAGTTTATTTAGTATAATTTCATAAAATTCTCGTCCTCTTATAAGTTGAATTGAATAATATTGGTCTAATTATTAATAAAAAGTCTATTTTTTAAACTTTTTTTTAAATCATATGTTAATTTTTAAAAATCAATATTTTCAATATTTTTTTTATTTTTTTGAAATATTTAATTTAATATTTTAAAAGTAGTTTAATTTTTTGAAAATCATTTTTTTGAATTTTTTAAAATCAGTTTCTATTTTTTTAAAAAAATTCAATATTCTATTTTTTTAGAAAATTTCAAGATTTTTAAGAATATTCAATTTAAAATTTAAAAATTTAAAAAATTAAAAATTTCAATTTTTTAATTTTTTTAAAATTTCATATTTTTAAGTTTTTGTATTTTTGAAAATTTTAACATTTTATTTAAACAAAATATTTAATTTAATTTTTTAATTCTTTAGAATTTTTATAAAATTTTCTATTTTTTTAAATTTTCTATTTTTTTCATGAAATGTTATATATATATATATTTTATTTTTTTATGTTTTTAAAAAGAGTTTATAAATTAAAAAAAAAATTTTACACGTTCTTCTATGTTTTTTAATGATGGAACTTTTGGTGTCTCGCTATTGCTCTGTTTTACCTTGGTATTTATGCTCTTCCATCTAAAATATACCAAAATAAAACAATTTTTAATGATTTGTGTCTTCTTAATAATTTATTTATTTATTCATTTAAATATTAAAAATATAAAAATTTTTTATGATCATAATAAATTAAAAATTATATAGAAATTTTATAAAAACTTTAAAAAATTAAAAAAAAAAATTAAATATTTTGATTAAATAAAATTAAAAAATTCTAAAGATAAAAAATTTCCAAAAATTAAATATTGATTTTAAAAAAAATTAAAAATTGATTTTTAATAAATAAGTAAAAATAATTTTTATTAATAATTGGACTAACATTATTAAATTTAACTTGAATAGAGACAAGATTTTTATGAAATTATACTAGAGAAACTAATTTTTGAATTTCGTATACGTATAGAGACTATTTACATAATTTAACAATTGATTTTGTTTATACAAATTACCACATCAATAAATTGGAAGGTCAAATCATTAAGTCGACAATTATGACATTTTTAATGATAAAAAATTGATAAAATTAGTAATTTGATTAAAATTATCAAATAAAATATTATGAGGATTAAATTTGTTTGAATTATAATATATTGACTAAATTTCAAATTTTGATAAAATATAGGGCCTTTAACATAATTTGACCAAATTTTTATTAGTTTGGAATATGAATAAGATTAAACTACTAAAGACATGTCTGGCATAATTAATTTGCCACATTAATTTAGCCAATTATTTGTTAACAAATTTTAAAATTGATTAGCATTTCAAAGTTATAGCTCTTTCATTTGCTTTTAGTTTTCTCACATGGACTAATGGAGTTATCAAAGAATGGGGATCGCTTAATTATGCGGGCACGGCAAGCCATGCTTATTCAATATAAAAGTCAAAGATGATGGAGGTTTTTTCAACCCAACCTCACCCTTTCTACATCGCTTTGCCAACCAATTTGCACCCTTATTCGCTTCCAGCTTTACTAATGAAAACTTGACTTATTGAAATTTCGTTTCTAGAAAATCCACATCATCCAAAATTGAGACTATTTTCCAGGATCCTTCCTTAGGATTATTCTCCAGCTCATCTAGAAGTTCTTTAGAGTGCGTTTCCAAGACTATTTTTTTGCATATTTTTTTACTCTGCAACCTTATCCCTTCCTTTATTCCTCTTGCACTCAAAGCATTCTTCGCAGACACCACTAATCTTTTGCAACCCACCACTCTGCTTTAGAAATCACTTACCAATCACCACTATTGCTACTTTTTTTAGATTTAATACTAAAAGCACCATTATAATGTTACCTCATGATTCCATTTGAGACACCCACATTTGTTTCTATTGAATTATTTCTGTTTAGGTAACATATTTATGAAATCAAAGTTTAAATACTATTGTTGTCCCCTAACACTATTCAAATCTAATGTGAATTTTTATAAAACAAAGTTAATCTTTTGTGACCCATTTTTTGACATAGTATAGCTCAAAATTATATTTTCATATTGGTTGTATTCTATTAAAATAAAATTTTTAAATTTATAGGTACATAGTTTCTAAAAAAAAGGAAGTATAAAAATATGATAGAAATGAAAAAGAGAAAAAAAAAAAAAGAAAGAAATTACCAATTATAAATAGATAATATGAAAAAATTATGATAGGAATGAAAAAAAAAAAGAATTGAATTTTAACATTATGTAAAATTTTAATATCACATTACTTTTGGATTATGTTGACAATTTATTCCCATGCCAATTGGTTTTCTCTTAAAGAAAACAAATAAAAATTTAATTAACTCATAAAAAAGTTTGACATACTCTCAAATATGATTGTAATCAAAATATTAAAAAAAGTAAAAATCTAATTTTTTAAAAGAAATAAATACATATAGTTAAAAAATAAAATAAATGGCTAGTATTTACATATTTTCGCTTATGTAATTTAAAAAAAAAATTTTAAAAATATAAAAAAATTAATAGTATATTAAAAAATAAATTATATTATTTTTATATGAATAAAATCATAAAAAATAATATTTTTTATACGAACAAAGTCATCTACTTTGATATCGATCTAAATAAAATTTGTGAAGAACTTTTTATGTGTCAAAAATATAAATTATTTTTTTTTTTTATAAGAAAAAATTTAGGATAAAAGGATTATTTAATCTTCATATCATAATAAAATATATCGTATTTAATAACATAAAATAAATGATTATAAATTATGTATTCGAAATAATTTCAATAAATAATCATCGATAAAATTTAAATCTAAAATTTTTTCATGAAAAAAAAAAAAGATTTTAGCGGATTAACACTTATTTACTAAATATTTATGTAATATATTTTAAAATATTTTTATATATCTTACATTATAATATATTATATATAATTTCAAAATATTAATGATATTTACAAAATTCCATACCAGCAAAGCAATGGGCCCAACGCCAGTATTCAAGAAAAGTGGCCGCGGAAAAAACACGAAACTTGAGAAGGACTAACACGGCAACGTCAAGAAAAATCATTTGGTTACATTTTCATAAAGATGAATAATATTTTAAGTAGGTTCGCTGATGCGGTTGCGTTATTGGTAGTAGCAACTAGCAAGCTATCCGGTAATTGTATTTTGTTACTTTTGCTGAACCTCCGAGTTTCGTTGCCGGTTTTCTGCATGTGAATGCGGATGGAACTGTTGTGTACCACTATTTAAATTAATCTCATTGCCCCATTTTCGCAAAAAAAAAAAATTGAAATATTTTAGTTTTAATTTATTGCCCCTAAAACAGATTTATAAATACTTGTAATACTCCATTCCCCTTTTCCATTCAAACACAAACCCTAACACCCCCCACCCCCCAGAAAAGAATATACAGGAAAGTGATGGAAGACGGCTTCTCAGCCTTAAAGTTGTTCAGCCAAGGCTACTCTTATACCTACGACGATGTCATCTTTCTCCCTCATTACATTGACTTCCCCACCGATGCCGTCTCCTTGTCTACCCGTCTCTCCCGCAATGTCTCTCTCTCTATCCCCTGCGTTGCCTCCCCTATGGACACTGTCTCCGAAGCTCACATGGCTGCTGCCATGGCTGCGCTTGGTGGCATCGCTATTGTCCACTCTAACTGTACTTCTTCCCAACAAGCCTCCATTGTCCGATCTGCCAAGTCTCTTCGTCTTCCGATTGCTCCCTCCTCCATTGTCTTTGCCTCTCCCGATGATTCTCTTCCTTCTGTTTCTCATGGAAAATATGTTTTCGTTACCGAATCAGGTAATTTATCCGTAACTTATCTTGTTCAGTAATTTTATGGTTTGTAATTGTTTTGGGTTGTTTCAAACAGGCGAACTACCATCCAAGCTGTTGGGTTATGTCGCAACGTCTGATTGCGAGAACCTGAAGGGCAAAGAAGTGAAAATCTTTGATTACATGAGGGATTGTAAGAGTGTGGAATATGTTCCTTGGAATTATGATTTGGGAAAGATTGAGGCCATTTTGGAGGAAAAGAAAAGTGATTTCGTGGTGTTGGAGAGGGACGGTGAGGTGGTGAATGTGGTGATCAAGGAGGATGTGGAGAGGCTAAAAGGCTATCCCAAATTGGGAGCTGGGACGGTGGGGTCCGATGGAGAATGGATGGTGGGTGCGGCAATAGGGACAAGGGAGTCAGATAAGGAGAGGTTGGAACACTTGGTGAAGGCAGGGGCCAATGTGGTGGTGTTGGATAGTTCCCAAGGGAATTCTATATATCAGATCGAGATGATCAAGTATATAAAAAAGTCATATCCTCAGCTGGATGTCATCGGTGGGAATGTTGTGACTATTTCTCAAGCACAGAATTTGATTCAGGCAGGTGTAGATGGGTTAAGAGTTGGGATGGGTTCTGGGTCAATTTGCACTACACAAGAGGTTTGTGCTGTTGGACGAGGACAGGTAAAAACATCTTTCATTTCCAGTGTTGACCTCAATAGTAGTTTTTGATATAAAATTTTTCAATTGATATTATCAATGCTCTTGATGGTAGGTTAATGACTTTTCTTATTTTCTGTTATTTGAATGTTTCCCGTTTCTCAGATTTATGTTTTAGTGCGTCAAGTCATGAAGTCATTAGTTTCTTTGACTGTTGTTATAGTCCTTCAGTTCAAAATTCTTTTCTGCTGCAATTTCCCCATCTTTGGCAGTGTGTAGAAATAAACTTAAATCAAAATGAAGTGTGAGATGGCCACCATATCTGATTCTTATCTGGCAGAAAATTCCAGGGGTGCATTTGTTGGACAAGATAAAGGAGACGATAGGGTAAAATAAGACAAATAAGATAGTGGATCGATTTAAATAATGTATCATGTCCTATCCTTGGTGTGCGTGCAGAGATTCCCATCAAACTATCTCATAGGATTAAAATAATATCTTTTTTTTTTTTTATACTTGGAGGATGACTATTAACCTGAGCAACGAACATGGGATAGGATGCTTTTTTGTGCTATTTTATTCATCATCCTACTCAGCAAACGAACCCTAAATTCATTATGAACTCAATTATAGTTTGCTTGGCTTGCTTTGTGTCTCCATCATAGATGCCCGGTATGCTAAATCAGATAGCCATTGGAGAAACCAAAATAGCGTTTATCTTTTCTTTGTACTTAATAATTCACAATCTTCCCTTTATTCAAAACCTTTATATTTAAATAAATACTACTATTCTTTTGACAATTAGGAATTTATTAGATATTTGTAGTGTATATAACTGCATCTATTATCTATTGCAGAAACTAATGCCATTTGAAAATGTTAATAAAATTAATTGACAATATCATTTCATTATATTGTTTCTTCCGTCTTATATTGTCAAGTTTCTTTTCCTTTTCTCGCTACCTCTCAGGCAACAGCTGTTTACAAGGTGTCATCTATTGCTGCACAACATGGTGTGCCTGTCATTGCTGATGGTGGCATTTCAAACTCTGGACACATAGTTAAGGCTTTGGTTTTGGGGGCATCTACAGTTATGATGGGAAGCTTTTTAGCTGGAAGCACTGAGGCTCCAGGAGCTTATGAGTATAAGGTATGACACTTTTGTATTCTGCAGCTTTAGGCACCATCACTTTCCAATCATTTGAATTTTGGTGTCCACCAGACAGGAGTTAGTGAGAATCTGATTCTTCTAGAGTGAGAATCTGATTCTTCTAGATGTGAATCTTATCAAATGGCATAATTATTCTGCTGACTTTTTCATCTCTATGGTCTTCTTTATTCTCTTTCTTATGTAGTTTCATCTAGATGTATTTTGATCTTAGAATCTAAGCTTCCATATAAATCTTTATTTTAGTGAAAAGTAGAATATCATTGCTGGAAGTGTAGAATTTACACCAAATTGAATCTCAGGGGCCTTATGCATGTGAATCTTTAGTATTTCTGGATAAAAAATAGATTATTTGTTGATTGAAACTTTTTTTTTTTTTGGGAGTTTTGAAGCATATATATGATGTTGCCTAAAAACTCAAATTTTATTTGGGAATTATTTGTTATGTGCAGATTGCCATCTAATAATCTGTTTTATTTTTTTGGTTTTCTATCATCTATGTACTGTTTACAAGTTCTGGGATCAATTATCACTTGTTTAACAGAGAACAGTATACTCTCTTTTGTACACATACACATAGAGACATATATGTGCACTTCACCTTTAACATAAACCAATCCTTTTCTGCAATCATGTTTCGTTTTACTAGAATGGTCAACGCATCAAAAAATATCGTGGCATGGGCTCCCTAGAAGCAATGGCTAAGGGCAGTGATCAAAGATATCTGGGTGATACAGCTAAGCTGAAGATTGCCCAGGGGGTTGTTGGAGCAGTTGCGGATAAAGGTTCTGTGCTAAAGTTTATACCTTACACGATTCAAGCCGTCAAGCAAGGGTTCCAGGATCTTGGTGCGTCCTCTCTACCATCTGCACACGAGCTCTTAAGATCAGGGACCCTGAGGCTTGAGGTATGGGTCATCAACTCACATTGTTATTCTACTTAAGTTATAAGAATGATATTGAAAAGTTCTTTGGCAGATCACTGGTTAAAGCCTTAAAATGTGGATTACATGTCCTTTTTTTTTTTTCTTTGGATGAGTGATTATATGCCATCCAAATAGAAAATTTATTTCAAAACATACAAATAATCAGGCTTTATCTGGTTTGTTAAGTTTTCTACCTGCTTTTTACTACATACCTTTTGCTTTCTAAAAACTGCTTAAAAGCATAAGCAAACAATAATTGATTATTACTGCTTATGATACCATTGTGTCATTGACATAACCCTGGTCTTGTGTTGATTGGAACAGGTCCGGACTGGTGCAGCACAAGTTGAAGGTGGAGTACATGGTCTGGTTTCCTATGAAAAGAAATCCTTTTGAGATTTCAAAATTTCCAGCATCCATTGGTGGCTCCACGAGGAATATCCAACATTCAGAGAACCAATGATGTAGATCTATTTTCCTTTGAAAAATAGGGTAATATGATGGTTCCCTACACTGCACGGTATGTCATGGTTGCCGAGAGCATCGGTTTGCCTGGATGAGATCTGCAGTTAGGTGGGTTGTTTTATAGGTAACTTGAGTTTCTCTTAACTTTTATTAGTAATGGCTTGAAGAATCGAGAAATGAAGAACCAAGAGGTGCATCTATGGTTCGATGAAATAAAATGATTAAGAATGTTATTCATTGGGATGCACTTTATAGTCATAAAATGACGGACACTGATGAGTGATTAGTGAATGCATGCATTTTGATTTGGTGCATATGACAATAAAACTTGATTTTGCTAAAGAGGGTTGAGTTTTTCCTCAGGTGGTTACGTGATATCATTCCTAATCGTTTAGTAGTATCAAGTTAATGAAATTGGAGAAACTTTCTAAGTTTTTTTAATTATAATTTTAATAGTGATCAAAATTGATTTTATTTAATCAAAATTCGAATGTGAACTTATAATTTGGGATTAAATTTAGTAATTTCTATATCCGTGTTGTGTTTTTTCATGTTAAACATATGTAAAATAAGAAAATTTTTATCAAATTCATATAATTTTTGTTAAAATTTTAGTTTGTATTGCTTTTGTATTATTCTTTATATTATTTTTGTACAATGTCATTATATTATCTATAATTTTAATAATCATTTAAAATTTTAATATTTTATCGAAATAAATCAAATTATAAATTTTTTATTTTTTATTAATTAAAATTTTAAATTTTTTATCCAATTAAATCTTTAAACATTTACTTAATCTTAATTGAGTTTTCGATTGGATTGAAATAGTTATTAACAGGTAATCAATTTTTGTTTAATTAGAGTTTAGCTAGTGAAAATAGATGTTTGAAAACTTAATTTATTGTAATAAAATAATAAAAAATTTGATGATTATTAAAGTTTTATTTAAGAGCTTGTTTTAGTCTAAAATTTATAAGCTAAATCATATGAAGACTTTTATAAACAATCAAAATAAAGTAGATTAAAAGAAGTGACTTGTAAAAAAAGAAAAAGTAATCCATTGAAAATGAAAACAAATTATAGGCCTAAGCAGGGCAGGGAGAGAGACAAAGCGTGCTTGACGTTTCAATTTTAGTAATAACAGTATTCATTCTGTCACATAAAATCAACATGTAAACTAGTATATAATGAATTTTTTGGGCCAAATAATATATAATGGAATTGGCTAAATTGGTTTCACACGCTATTGGAGTTATTTAAGTTAAAGTATAAAACTTTTATTAGCATGTAGAAACAAATAAAAATGTCATTCGACTCTTCTTATAAAATAAAATTTGAAGCCCACATTTGTTTTTCATGATTAAATAAGAGATCACAGTTTGGGTAAAAAAAAAATTTAAATACTGAAATTCAAATTAATTTATTAAATATCACATTTAAAAAAAAATTATATTAATCAACTGAATTAAATTTTAGATTCTTATATATATATTTATTTACTCATATACATGCATATATATATATATAAATATACATTTGTTTATACTAAAAATACACAAAAAAAAAAACTACTAACTTTATTTTTTTTTCTTTTGCTAAAATGTGTCACACTCACTGTGTTGGTGTATTTTTTTTATTAAATAGAAAATTGAGAAAAAAAAAAAAAAGGATACATTGATAGTTTTCTTTTATGCATAAGTGAATAGTTTTTATAATTTTTTTCTGAATAGAAAGTCTGTTTTATAAAGCATTTAAAAAGACAAATGTCTCTAATCATATTTTTATTATAATATACTTTTCGACCATTTTAATAATTATCTAAGTGATTTTGGTGTCGTGAATTCGTGACACCAAATTCAATTAAAAACTTTAATAATAACATAAATGACAAATTAATTCAAAATTATTAGAAGTATTAGTTTCTAACAGGACTTTTGGTTTGATTTAATGGGAGGACTCGGAAAGAATAAAGAGTCTAGATAATTAACGCATCTAAAACTCCAAATGATTGAGTCTAAACAAAACACCCAAGGAAAACACGGCAAACTCTTCTCAATTCTGCTGTTTTCTGATTTATGCTGAGATTCACTAATACACAGCTCACCTCAGGATAATTGACATGAATATGTTGAAGATCATAAATCCTTGTATAATGTAGATTCCAAATCCACTAATATGATTTCATTTTTGTTTTGCTATCACAACAAGAGTATGAAAGCAAATCTTCCAATGTCTTCTACCTTAAAAGTTCGAAACTAGTAATTTTGCTGCCTTTTTTGTTGTGCATGCTTAATTACACATCGGAAAGGCTAGCAACAATGGGATAATTCACTACATCAGCACAAACAATTCTTTGCATCTGAGATAGCAATGGTTTTCATTTTCACTACCACCTCTAATATGTAGTTAGCATTCATCGAGAGAGATGGGCTCGTATATTACTGCATTTACCATATCGATCATTTCATGTGAGGTAAAACCATCATCCCTAATGTAAAATAGATGCAACACTTTGCTCATTTTCCAGAATAATTCCTTGCAAGCTCTTGGGATGCTGCTGCCATTTTCCTGCAACACTAATCTAAGGAGTTCTCTCCTCCTATCGCAAATTATTCGCTTTATTTCTTGATTTACATCTTCAGTTACAGCATTGGTACCGTGAATTATGTGCAAAGATACAGCATTCAGTTTTCCTTCCATAGATTCCCTCTGCAACATACCAGATATTAGTAAATAATACAAAACTGCTATTCCTGATGAGACAAGTAGTTTATTGGTGTTGTTTTTTTCCTAAAAGCTGTACCTTAAAGCTATGAATATCATTGAGAAGACGCCCACAAGTGCTTACAAGCTTAAATAGAAGATTGTATTCAGGGCCTTTAACAACAACCTCCGAAAGGCGAGGTCCAACAAAATAGAGAGCTGGGAGGATGATTGGCCCCAAGGCAAGTGATACATAACCATTTGTTATGTATTCATCCACAGTTGGGACCAACTTGTTCTTTGACCACTGGGCTTCCTGCCACATAGACCTAAGCAAATCCAGCCACTGCAACATAAACATCGATCATATAAACTTCTGTTGAATACAAATTTTCTTCAATACAAATAATACCCTGGAATTTCAGCTGCATTTCATATAAATTACTCTTCTGGTGGAGGTGTTCTGAAGAATGTGATGACAATAAAAAAAATTCTAATATTTAACGCTAATATGAGCACTAAAATAAGGACAGCATGCATCTTACAATCTCAGTAACATGAGTCGTCACATTACGTCCTTGCCATGCAATTGCTTTCTCTCCAATCTCAGATATTGTGCTGTGAAGTGCTGAAAATAGGATTTCAACTTCCTCAGAACAACAATGGATGCTGACATCTACATCATGCCTGTGTTTCATTTTCTTATAAGCCATTGCTTTGGAAAGATAAATTCAGGCTCTGTTTAGTAGATGTTTTTGCTTCTTATTTTTCGCTATTTGTCTTTGGTTTTCTATTCATTTTCTACTTTTTGCTTTTTCCATTTGATTCAAAAAAGTAAAAAGCAAAAATCAAAAGCATCTACTGAACGGAGCCTAAGAGAATAACAGAAGTTATACGCCTAAAGTAATCACATAAAAGGGAAAAAAAGAGGGAAAAGAGTATACTTCTCAACCAATTCGATCAGGTTTAATAGCTCATCTTCAGAACCTCCAACGTCAAAAAAATCATCGACCACAGTAGTAAGCACACCATTTTTGGCCCATGATATGCGAGCATCAGATAGTTCAGGAGAGAACATGGTTGCAGCTGCAGAAAAGTAACAGTAAGCCAGTTTCTGCCTAGCAAACTTCAGCTTGTCCAATCGCTTTTCTTGAACCCACCTATTTCATAAGAGAGATATCATGCAATAATTTAAGATGCAGTTGCCAAGGTTGTCTACCATAGTTAAGGTAAAGGAAACTCCCATGACTGGGGATGATAATGGACGTACATGAGAACAACATGAATTCAGCACTAGGAACTTAGACCAGACATAAGGTACACTTTTAATCGACTCAGAAGAATGAAAAATAAGATTATTGTTCCCCGTTAAGTTTGCCAGCTTATGTTTAATGATGCTTGACCATCATCTTATTCTCCATTGGATTTCTTGCCACTGCATCGTGGTTCATATCTTAGTAAAAACATTTACCTCTCTAGTTCTTTGAGTTCTTCACGATATATTGATTGACAGGCATTGAAGTCCTCCACTGCTAGTCTTAGGAAATCTTTGTTACCAATACCTGAAAAGCTAGCACATGAAGAATACAGAATAAATGCCAATCAGGCAAACATTATTACATATTTAAAGAAAAAAAATAATAAAATAAATAAACTACCAGAGGAGTACCAATATGAAGTTTTAAGCATCCTTATATCATCTACAGCATAATTCACTATGTTTCTCCTGTGTACTAAGCGTTCCAAACTGGCATAGTAGGGAAATTCAAGAGCATCATTCACCTGAAAATTATAGAGGCAGCCATCTCCAGTAAGTACAGTGAATTCAAAATGGAAAAGAAAGGGTTTGATTATCAATTCACAGAGAAAAAAAATACCTTTTGTATAATATATTCTTTATGTTTATATGCACCCATAGAACTGTTGGATAATTCCTGTTTCAAGAAATGGCTTGTCCATAAGTTTTGTTTCTCCAGAACTTGTTCATCCGAATGAATGATCATCTGTGAAGCCCTAAATAACTCTAAGACAGCATCCAAATCCTTCAAATATCCACCAAGCGAATAGAAGAAATGTTCTTCCCCAAATCCAGTTAAGGGTTCTACAACAAAAGGAAACCCAAAAACACTCTAACAATAAGGATCCTATCCTTTAATTTTCCAAACAGAAAAAAGGCATTAACATACCAGAGGAAACATCATAACCATTGACACGTAGTATTTGAAAAGCTAGCGCACAAGTAGCAGGATCCAAGAATATCTCCTCCTCTCCCTGCAGCCAGCATCTGTTTGTTGGCTAACGTTATATTTTTTTTTAAAGAAGCGATCAGTGAACTTAAAGATAAGTTTTCGAGACATTTTTTTACAGAGATTGAACATAAAATTTTGTCAACAAATTACAGAGAAACAGCCTTCCAAACAGATTATATGCATTATCTATGTTTGTAATATAACCTTACCGGTATGTTTCATCCAATACACTTGTAATTTCTTTCCTGAAATGCTGACCAATTCCCAAGCTTTCAATATTCTCCACCATACAAAGACAGGGATATATATGGAAAGGATGAAGTGTGGGAACTGAAATGATTATTGATTGTTAGTAATTTAGAATTAAATAATGTAATCAAGTACATTGGAAATTATGATGTAAGGTTGTATAATAACCTGCATCCCCAAACTTCTCTAAAAGTGCATGGAGATAATAAAGACAACCATCATTTTGAAGGTGAGCAAGAGCTGCAGCTGTTGTGGATGGTGAATTGAACAACGATCCATTCTTCCGCTGATACTTCATGACCATTTCCCAGTCTTGACATTTGCCAATTCCTTCTGAAACATATGCCAAGTAGGCTTTCCTTCCCTTTGAGCTTTCTCTGTGGCAACTAAATCAAGAAAATTGGAAGAGTTTTTATCATAGGAAGCTTGGAAGACCATGCCAAACTAAACATTTAGTGAAAGTGTTTCCAAAATGAACAATGTATGGCAATCTTAGGATAACAAATGCCACTAATTTCTAAAAGACATTTAACCGCTTTGCTAATTGTGCAATGGTTTGACAAAGACAAAGGTTGCTAAACTTGAACATCCCAATACTCTTGTTTGGCTAATGCTCTGCTACTTATATGCTAATTTTTCTTTTTGGTACAAAGGAGCCCATAGCTTGGGGATAGGGGAAAGGATTACAGATGCTGGTATTTGAACACCAGACCTATTGGATGTCACCTCTTAGGGATGACTGCATAAGCCTAATTGAGCTAAGCTCCAAGTTCACTTATGTGCTAATTGTTAATATCACATTACATTGTTATCAAATATCCTAGCATAAACACAAAAGTCAAAATTGAATCCTTAGTGGAAGGTAACAAGAACAAAAAAACACCTTTGCAGCTCTAAATTCCTTTTATGGTACAAGGCATCAATATCTGTTGATCTCAGAGGGAGTTTCAGATTCAAATCCTTAGCATATTCAATCATACCAGAGAAAATTATATCAAATCCAACAGGCGTATGTTGGCTCTCATCCGAAACCGAAGCAAAATGTGACTCGATAAACTGCAGGCCTGCAGAAGAAAAAAAATTAAATTTATCCATTTACACTGTTGGAGAAAAATGACAGCAATGATGAATATATAACCCTTTGTCATTTGTTCTTCACCAACATCCCATCGTCTCAGTGCAAGGACACATGCCAGTGTGGAGGAAAGGATGTCTTTAGTTAACAAGGGATCACGACGAGAAGGACCCCAAGAACCATCAGAGAGTTGATTATCCAACAACCACTTTAAGCAGCCAGGGAAGCAGGGGTTCTGTGGGGAACTTGGAGATGGGACCATTGCCACCCAAGCAGTGTCATAAGAAGAAACAGAAAGTTCTATCTCATCAAACATCTTCTTGATCTTTTCTTTAGTACCCTCAAAGCACTGCACAATTAAGAGTATCCTTATACATTTACAGCATGTGGGATTAGAGAATAAAGAGAAGCAAAAGGCAAGATTCTTATACCAAACCATTAGTTTGGGAGTCTGTTATTAGCTTTGCTCCACAGTCAATGGAAACTGCTCAGGTGGGGGCCAAAAGAACACAGAGAGAAATCCAAATGATTAAGATAAGAAAATAAGTATTCAAAGAACAAAAAAAATAGAAGAATATAAAGCGATTGAAGTTGAGACCAGAAACAATGTGTCTAAATGCAAAGGATTTTGCAGTAAAAGTATGAATTTTGGATTTCATTTTTCAGGAAAACAGGGCATGTATCCTTGCAAAATGACATCATTTTGACATTCTCATGAAAAACACATATATAAGTATTCTTGAAAGTGGAAGAAAGCATCCAAATTACAGCCTAAGATGATCCAAGTAACAGGAAAAGTTGAGACAGAGAGAGAGAGAGAACCTGAAGCTGATATAGAAGAAGTGGAACACCTAGGACTATGGGCATAGGGATGGGGGTGGAAGACAGACATGGTGATGGTGATGGCGATGGTGATTGGTATCAGCAGATGCAGAGATATAGCATTAGCCACAGCCAAACTGCATATATATATGAACAAACCATCCTTGAGAAAAAGTCACTGTTAAATGGGGGACAAACTCAAAAGAGTAAAGGTGTTCTGACCAAACTTTCAAAACATTTGGATTAAAATTACTTCTTATACAAACTAATTGCTTTTAAAGGAAAATTACTGTTATAATTTCCTTGAGCAAATTCTAATAACAGATTCCACAAAGCATGTTCAAATGTTTCCAAATAATGGTAATGCTCCGTTGCTATCAGCAGCGACCTTTTATGTAAATCTGTAACTTAAAATGATAAAAAAAATAAAAGTGATATAAATTAAAATTTTAATAAAAAATATATATAAAATTTGAAAAAATAAAAAAAATATTTCATATTTTTTATATTAATATAAATTATAATATATAATTTTTATATAAAATATGATATAAATATAGAATTATACTTACATTATAAAAAAAACATGCATCATGAAAAAATGTTAATATAATCTGTTTCTCATAATTTAGTACCAAATAAATTAAAAAAATAAGGTTAATAAAAAATTTAAATTAAATAATTGGAGGGATAAAGAGTATTTGATTCACAACCTACAAACAAATTTAGACAGAGTGAAGGTCACAAAGCCAGTAAGACAAGCCCTACTTTGGTGGAATCCTATGGAGGTTGGATTAGAGAATCTTCCAAACTGTACAACAAAAAATGACAAGTGGTATATAAAATAAAATGAAAATATTAAAAATAAAAAATTACTTAATTGAATATATATCATAAAAAAAATGATATTACTATTTTATTTTTATCTTTACATTTTTTAAGTAAGAAATTATGACTTTTATAAATTTTATTCCATCAAGTCAAGTACTTAATAGTGTTTAGCATTACATATTGAACAATTATTTATTACATTGATTTTTGAGATTTTTTAATTTTATAAATAAGATTTAAATGATGATACATATTTTATTTTTTTATTATATTTTTTTATTTTTTAAATATATACTAAGAGATATATATTATCATTTTAATCTCGCTCGTAAAATTAAAAATTTTACTTCAATATATTTAATAATTTTTTTAATATTTTTATTATTTATAACATCTTTTCTTATAATAGATAAGAATAACTTTTACTTGAATTTTTACTTATCATATATTAAAAATATTGACACCTGTGATAATTTAATTATGATTTTTCATTAAGAAGTCACTCAAAATCTAAAATACATGCATTCATGTAAAGAAATTAATATGATATATTTCTTGATATATTCGTAAATTAAGCAGAATAAAAACATTACAAAAATTATATTGTCCAAAATATATTTAAAAAACAGAAAAATAAATGGAAGAGAAAATGTAAAACAAGTAGGGTGGTGGTTTAGAACCAAGGGCAGCTCGAAATACAAGCGGGGAGTCCTGGGCCCCCAAAATTTTAAACCCTCATATGGTAAATGTATCTTGGATTCTTAATAGTTTAGTTTTGTGTAGCCTAATTTTGTGTAGCGTCGATAGATAAAGAAGTTCTGTGATAATCTTCTGTAGTATTTATGTATTGTATTTGATTTATATCTGAATTTTTATTTGGCAATGAAAATTTTTTTAAATTACAAAAGAAAATATATTATATAAATTAAATTCGTCTTTAAACCAAACATATTAAAATTTTTTTTGGCAGCTTTTAATTTATTTTTATACATTGTAATTTAAGAAGATTGCAATCACATAATAATTTTTTTATTTATTGTATCAATCAATTATTACATATAAATTAAATCCAAAATCAATAGATTTATTATAAGAATTAAATCGCATGTCAATTTACTAAAAATCAAATTGTTTTAATTTTTTTCATAAGACTCGAAGATTATAATTAAATATTAAATATTTTATTAGTTCAAAGATTTAAAATAAATCAAGAGGAGAATGAATTGGTTACAATAAAATTTTTAAAAATAATATTTAATAAGCACAAATTTAATTAAATAAATTATTTAAGTAAATAAATACAATAATTAAAAATAAACAAAAGATAAAAATAAAAAATTTGACATCAAAATTCATAATCAATTTAAGGTCAATATATTTTTTTAATCGATTACAATTTTTCTCCGTATACTCTCTAATTTTAATTTTATCTTAAAATTTTTTCCTCTATCATAAATATATATATATATATATAAATAGGATACATTAATAAAAAGTTAATATTCAGTATAATATTAATTAATTTTTTTAAAATTAAATATTAAGATTCATCATTTAATAAAATAAAATATTTTTTTGTTTTTATTTTCACAAAAAATAGAAAGCGTAATTGAAATCATTTTAGGCAGATATTTTTTTTAAAAAATATTTTTAAAAAATAAAAATGAAACACATCCAATTTTAAGAATTAAAAAAAAAATTGTTTTCAATATTTTTAAGCAAATTGAACAAAAAAGAGAAAAAAAAAATGAAAACACGATTTAAGTGAATTCCATTAACTAATTTAGTTAGCAACCCGAGATAGAGGCCAACTAAAAACAAATAATAAAAAGCGTTTCACTCCAATAATGTGGTTTCATTCTTTGAAATGTCCACGTGCACTGACATAATTGGGTAAAATATTGTAATACCCATAATGGTGGACCCGACGGTGTGTGGCCGTGAATAAATTTATCATTTTCCATTTTCTAAACACAAAACGCAATAACAAACACATTTTTATACTTTCATTTTGTAAAAATGGTTTGTCATTTTTATTTAACAAACACATTTTCTATAAAATAGAAAATAAGAAATAAAAATTATTTTTAAAAATAAAATAAAATAACAAAATAATTTTTATAACCAATCACAACCATAATTTCCACTTCTACAATCATAGGCACCTAAATGGACTTCAATCCAATGGTCACAATCTTATACTTCCTAAAGTAGACTAATCAAATTCGTCCGTTAAATTAATAGAGTTGGCAAAACTGGCTCGAACTTGAAAGCTAGCCCTAGCCATTCCGTGACCAAAATTAAATCGATTTGGATAGATAAAAAAGTTAAATATTGGAACTCAAAAAAATTCGATTAAAAAAAAATTCCAACACTGAAAAACCCCAAAATTGACATAACCCAAATCTGCAATAATTTAAAATTAAAATCGATATGATCATAAATATGTAAAAAATCAAATTATAATTCAAAAAAATTGACTATAGTTACACAATTTTATTATTTTAAAAAATAAGAATAAATAAATAAAAAATAAATGACAAACATTTTTCTAGTTAAAGATTTTTAAAATATTATTATTTATAATTATTAAATAATTACATCAATAATTTATTATTAACAAAATTAATGTTGAATATCTAAATTTATTATGAAATAAAATTAATTTTAAAGCACAATAAATATGAATATCAAATTAGTTCTAATATTATCCCTTTTATATTTACAACAATTATCAGTAAAATAAAAAAATAATATCTTTAATTTAAATTTAAATTTTATTATAAAATAATTATTTATACTATATTATTAATTTATTATATTTTAAAAAAATTATTTATATAAATATTTAGTGGACAGTATTTGTGTCACAACATATGGGTCGAGGAATTCGACTATAGGAGATGACAAATATTTTAAAGTTTCAAAATCAAAGACGTCGCTATCAATCTTTTTTGGAAAGTATGATTAATCATCTTAAAAATTTATCTTTTTAATAAAATTAAAAACTAATTTAAAAATTATCAAAAAGATAAATTTGTTCTTTGAAATTAGCTATTGATTCGAGAATTCGATTATGTGTGTAGGAGAATTAGAACCCCTATAGCATCTATTTTAAAAACAGTATTAATTAATTACATATTATTCTTGAATTTTGAGAGAAATGGTTCTAACTTTAATATTTAAAAAAATCCTTGAACTTCATTTATTTTTACAAAATCTCATTTTTGTTGTTTTTGAAAACACAAGTTATTTTATTTTTGGATTAAGATGGAAACTTTTTGCATTGAAACATTTTCTTAACTTCCCTATATCTAGGAGGAACCTTAAAAACATCATTTTAATTTAGAGTTTCTATAATAATCCATCAAAACAAAAGTAATATTCTTTATAAAAACAATTATGGAGAAAACCCCAATATATTAAGGCCAAGTCCCAAAAATCATTTTTTCTAGGAATATTACCTTATTCATTTCTAAAACTTTATTTCCATTTTTGAAACCATTAATACAACAAGATGAATCATAAAATAGAATGCATGAAATGCAATAAGATATATCATATGGATGACAATGAACATGTAAGCTGCTAAGCATAAATGTATGGACACAATAAAATGATATGTGAATGATAATGCATTTATATAATTATTGAATAAGCAAAAATACAAATGCATAGGCATGTGAGTTGGGGCATAGGCTTTAGGTTGGACTTTGGATTTAAGGATTATAGTTTAGGGTTTAGGGCTTAGTTTAGGGTTAGGTTTAGGATTTGTGGTTTTAGGGTTTAGGGATTCACAGTTTTAGAGTTTAGGATTTTGGGTGATGATAATGCTAAATGCATGAAATTTCCTAGCATGATGCATGACTTAACCAAAATCTCAAATAGTAAAAAAAAAAAAAAAATGCTATGTAGCCAGTTTACCAAACACTTAAAAAACTAAAAGCAACCTTAAATTTTATTCATCCAAACAATTTTAAAACATTATAAACACAAACTTTATAACTTTGTAAACTCATTCAAGCATCTTACCAACAACATATACGATATGATTTACATAACAAGACATACATATAGCCAAAAGGGATTTTTTTGATTTTTTTTATAATCTTTCCACCATATTCAACACTTGCACACATCATTCAAGCTTTAAACAACTAAACAACTTCAGTTATTCAATATAAGACTTTCATCAAAAACTTTGTAAGCTAAAAAATGCTAACTAAAATTTTTATTTATGAAAAAAATCAACCAAACACAATTAAAAATAAAAAAAACCTCAACTCTAAATCATTAAACACATAAACACACACACACACACATATTATATTAAAGCATGAAACATATTTTTTTTTTAAAAAAAAAGAGAAGAAGGTTTGGCCAATATGTGAGGACCAATGGCTAACCTCATTTTTCATGACACTTTGGTAGCTAGTGG